ACACACACACACACACACACACACACACACACACACACAGTGTGACTGACTGAGTCCTTCTGAGAATGATAGGGATCATTGTTACTGAAGGGGAGGCCGTACCCGCTTGTCGATGTCTCCGTGCTGCAGCTGGACGAATCTGGCGCTGATGGCGGCGATGTAACTCTGCTGATTGGAGAAGGCCACTCGCCCCGCCCCCTTCGGGTACTTCAGCTCCGGATCGGTGTCGATGCCCGCGTAGCAGACTCCGCCGTAGAGACGGTCCATAATCATGGCCAGCTCAACTAGTCAGAGTAGGGAAACGCTGTCAGACTTGTGTTGCAGATGGGATTTGAAAAGCTCAGATCATCTATTGATATATATTGATGTCGGCACAAGCTGTCATGTTCAAAACATCTGGAGAGATTTATTTTTGTTCCGGATTTGGACCAACAGGACAGAGAACATTAATAAACCTGTAAGGTCAGACTTCAGCAGAGAAATGAGTGAGAAAGTAAAGTGTTTGTATTATGTTATTGCATCTAACAGCTCGCTATTTATTCTTTTCTTTTGTTGTAAAATCTACAACGGTGCATTCAGGTGAGAGGGGGGGGGAGATATCCCAAGAAAAAATAGGAGAGTTTCTGTGATTAAAGTTGTGAATCTATGATTTTTTTTTTTGTTAAGGAACGAAATCAATTCACTTTGCAAGGTTCGACAAACCCCATCATTCCACAGCTATTTTAACATAAAATATATTAATTATATTAGTATTTATTTAGGCTCACGAACTCACACACACAAAAGAAATTGAAAGAAAACGTTTAAAGTGTTCAGTTCTCACTGAAATATTACTTTAGGAGCAACGACATATAGACGCCGGCACAGTTTGTTTTCTCTTACAAATGTGTGACTTCATAATTTCAGAGAATATTCAGATTTTTTTCTCATAAATTGATGATTTTAATCTTCTGAGACTATGAGTTTTTTCTTGGAATACAACCGCACCCCCCCCCCCCCCCCCCCCGTCATTATTATTTTGTTTTTTATCTACAATGGCCCGAATACTGTATAATAAATAGCCTCTGGAAGAGCCAGGCTGTAAAATGGTTATCAAAGCACTGCAAAATGTGAATGCAATGATGTTTTTCAAAATAAAATACATGAATAAATACGTGTAATTACTTGCTCTCAGGGGCCGAGGGACGCCTCCCACAAAGATGGTCTTGCGGGGATCGAGGGGCTGAGATCCGTCCATCACAAAGTCACTGTCGCTCAGGTTCCACGGTCGAATTTGCACCTTGGGGACAAAGTCAAATTTACCTTTAAAACACTCTCTGTATTTAATTAAGAGAAACTAAACAAACGACAGCTGTGTGTGTGTTCAGTGTGAGCTGCTGCTGGACTCACAGGTTTGTCTTTGATGGTGGGACTGGAGACACACAGGTAGAGCTTCCCGTCCTCCTCCATGCAGGCTTCAATCAGAGCCTGCACCGAGCTCTCCTCCTGGAACAGCAGGAACGCGTAACCTAGGGAACACACACACACACACACACACACACACACACACACACACACACACATAAATAAAACATGTGACAAATGATCCCTTCTCACTGCATCCAAGCTCAACACTAAAGAGTAACGAAACCAAGTTATATGTGTATTTAGTAGTGCTAAGCATTTTATAAATACTTTATATTTCTTACCTCATATGTACAATAATGTATATCCAACTGCTCAATCTGATAATATTGTATTTACTTCTTTATTATACCTTTACTGTTTGATTATTAATTGTACTCGTTTTGTTTTCTTGTATTGTTTTACACTGATGTCTTCCCCGCTGTGGGAATAATAAAGGATTATCCTTTTTTATCTTAATTATACATTCATATACATAGTGACTGCCCTCTACTGGTTGAAACAGGCTACTGTAATTGAATTTTGCTATTTGCTGATCTGGACGCAGGAGACGTATATGGAGGCGATACACATAGCTAGCGCTAGTGCTGATGGTTCTCCTCCAATACTCAGTAGAACATGCGTTTCTAGTCACGGATCTCTGATCATGTTTCATTGTAAACAACCAATCAGTGTTTAAAGCAACAGGAGGAGAGCTAGTAACGTTAGCAGCACCGCTAACGGCTAACCAACAGGAGGAGAGCTAATAACGTTAGCACTGCCAACGGCTAACCAACAGGAGGAGAGCTAGTAACGTTAGCAGCACCGCTAACGGCTAACCCAACAGAGGTTCACTTCAGTTACACTATGATGCCTTCAGGCTCTGCTCAGTGAACATGAGTACTGGCTGAAGGTACATTATAACGTTATCATGATGTGTTCACATGTCATCTGTAAAATGTAGTTTTAGTGATGAACTTGAATGAATCCAGTAGTGTGAAGGAGATGTTTTCACATGAATATAAAATAGATATTAGAGATGAATTACGAGATGTTTAACTTCTAACACTAGATCTAAGAACATTATTTTACATCATTAACAATAATAATAAAGAGATTAGTTTTAGTCAATAAAAATACAATCTTATATTTCTTTATCATTTCAATTGTGTGTTTTTATGAAGAAAACAAAACATAAATTATTATAACAAAGTAAAAGGTTATCATTTAGTATTTGTATTATATTGTGGATCCTTGTAGACCAGCTGCTGTAATCAAACAACAAAGGGATCTGTGTCTGTTGATATGGATCATCAATGATCAATAATTAGTATCGGTGGCAAAGAAACCTGATCATGGATCTAAAGGTTATATTTGCTCCCTTGTTTCTTTGTGCTGATCCGATCTGAACCGTGACTTCTATGATCCGTTGCTCCACTAGTCAGCATCACATGTCGTTGCAACGACTGCTTTTAGTTGTATTTTTCCATCCATCCATTATCTGTAACCTCTTATTCTATTCTGGGCTGCGTGGGGGCCGGAGCCGAAGGCAGGGTTCACCCTGGACAGGGATCCAGACTCTGGCAGGACTGAGACAGACAACCATTCAGGCTCACATTCTCACCTACCCAACGGACCTCACATGTCTTGATGTTGTGGGGGATCGAACCCACTGACGCTGACACTACCAGTCACTCTTTAATAACGTTTAGTAGCCACGTGCTTAACACGGAGGCTCGCTGCTGTCGTCAGTACCTTTCGGTGGAAAGTAGGACTTGCTCTCTGCTTTGTGTGGCCAGTCCACCACCAGGTGACCAAAGCGGCGGAAGCTTGAGGTTATTTCGTCTGAGAGGAAGAGGAAAAACAGAAGAGGTGAAGAACGAGAGAGCTGGGTTTGTAGAATAAAAAGAGACAAAAGGCTAAGTCCTCCTCACCTTCGTCGATGTCGGGGGGCAGACCTCCCACGAACACCTTACGGGAGAAGCGCTCGATGCGATCCCCGTTTTGGTGGGGGTAACAGTTGGGGGAGCCGTGGACTCCCGGGACACCCTGGTTGCCGTGGCCTTCGTCGAGGAGATTGTCGTCGATGGGGAAGAGAGAGGAGCGGCCTGGTGGAGGGGAAAGAAAACGGCAGGTAAGGCTACTGCAAGAGATGTCACAAACACACACACATCTAAAGGTCACCGTTACCAAGGATAGAACAAAGGTTCTGCTTTTAATGCAGTTTTTACGCCGAGTGGTTGTGACTTTCTTTCGGTCTGGCGGATGAAGCAGTGTGTGGACAGACGGGCTGTGCGGACAGACGGGCTGTGTGCAGACAGACGGGCTGTGCGGACAGACGGGCTGTGTGCGGACAGACGGGCTCTGTGCGGACAGACGGGCTGTGCGGACAGACGGGCTCTGTGCGGACAGACGGGCTGTGCGGACAGACGGGCTGTACGGACAGACGGGCTGTGCGGACAGACGGGCTGTTAATAACAACGCCGAGCAGTGTGGAGGTTTTGTTGTATTTTGTGACAGCCAACAATAATTGTATCGGGCAGAAGTTTAACGATTGTATAAGAATGCTGTAAAAAACCAACAACAATGTCTTCCTGGATCTAAAAACAGAAAGATAATTGGAGGTGTGACTCCAGACTCGGTTTGGTTTCCATTCAAAGCAGAACACAAGAGAAACAAGCCACACGAGAAACAAGCCACACGAGAAACAAGCCACAGGAGAAACAAGCCACACGGAGGGACAATAAAGACGATTGTAGAAGGTTTACCTCGACGTCTCCCATAGCTCCTGGCTGCATGTAGAGAAGTACAGAGTACAAGATTCAGCTGTGCACACATTCTCAAACGATAGACGTGACCTCTACAGAGCTATCTCACGACTCTCTTCATCAAACCGCCGATCAATTCAGTCAAATGAGCCGTCACTTACACAGATCCGTGACCCGAACTGACTCAGCTTACATCCTCCTGAGACCCGGAGCAGGATTCGGGTTTTCCCGGTCAAAGAAATAATCAGTGAGAACTCATTGATCTTCTCCTGAAGACACTTGAGGCAAATACATTTCCAGTACAAAAATGTGAACATTTTATAAAACCAGGTTCAAAATTATTGTTTCATGTTGTTGACGTATTAAAGTCAAAGGTTTTAACAGAGAGAGTTTATGATATCTCTTTATATCACTCCATGAATCATAAAATACTGTCAACAGACATAAAAACATCTATTATCACCTTGTTTTATTAATAAATGTATAAATGAGTGTGTGAGTGGTGTGTGAACTAACCCCTCTGTGTGAACCTTCAGCACACAGAGAGGAATGA